TGACGGTTCATTGGAAGGCGGATGGAGCGCATGGCACGACATCAAACCCATAACCAATAGAATGACTCGGTTGACTGCATAGCATTTTGACGTGCAATCTTCGGGCGCGTCTTTGCTTATCGTACAATCACAAAAATATTATGATAGGATCAATCAAAGTAAGCATTTTATGTTCTCTTTCGTCGAGGGGAGTCTTCTGTGTCAATCATACGATTTTGGCTGTCCACATCGACAGTCAAAGTCCGTATATTATGACTCAACAAAGTGAATAATTTTTATCTTTTATAAAATAAAAATAAAAACAAAAAATTGGGAGACTTGTCTACTTAGAGGGCTTTGTCACCCTGGCATCTTTGCTCGAAGAAGTTGGCAGCGATGGACCCACCGAATCTAGGAGCGCATTCCTCTGTTGAACCATCGGCACCTGCATCTCGGCGATCAGCGTCTCCAGGGTCTCTACTCGTTGACGAAGCACCATGACCTTAGCCTGCGATTCGTTGTTGTCCCGTTGAACCTCCAACAACTTAGTCGCATGGCTTTGACACTGAGCTCTTAACTTTATTGCCTCCATCTTCCACATCTCACCCTCGAGCTCAGTCACCTCGTCCGAATCGACACCGGCAGACTCCATCAGCTCCTTCACCAGTGCGCCCGATTCTTGTACTCGGGAGATAAGCGCGGCACTGAGATGAAGACCCTGCGGAAAGGAAATGATTTCAGCACAAGATGAATACCCAAAAAGAAAAAGGGAGATGGTACCATCACGATATGCTTCAAGGCCCTCGAAACTAGAGCGTCAGAATGTAGGGTACACAAATCCTTGGTTAGCTTTGGGAAGAGGACTCCCTGAACGAAGATCATGGCTTGTTCCGCTGACTTCCATGGTTCCGCCGTATCTATCATCCTCCACCCGGAAGATATCTCCTCGCCCTCGGGTGTGGGCAGACTATCGGCCACCACCAGACGAGTTGAAGATGAAGAACACTGAGCCGCCAACTCCTCTCGACGACTCCTCTTTGGCAAATGCTCTTCCCCTCCCCCTCCTCCCGCTTCCGTATCTCGAGGCCTCTTCGATGGCCTAGGGTGGGGCTCATCGACTCGTGTGGTCGGGACCTTGGCAGCTGAAGAAATCTGCGTGGCAGGCACGGGTGTCACCCGGGGAGATGATCGACGTTCAGATCTGACACCGCCAATCCGTAGAGGCCCAGGAGCTCGGGGGCCAGGAGGACCTTGGTCTATGTTCTTTCCCTTCAACGTACGCGTCAAACTCCAAACCGTTTCTAAACGAGACGCACGAAATCAAAATCAAACCTGAATGACAAAACAAAAACAAGTGAGGCTATCAAACTCACCTTCTTGAGAAGGGCTCAACCCAGCTCGGACAAGCCAGGATTCATCCATCGCTTTTATCATCGAGGTGGATTCAAGGATGCCGAGCAATTGACTGACTTGCACCGCCTCCGAGTTGGACAATTCTGGGACATCTTGAGGAACGACGGTCGTAGCCCATACCTGATTAAATGGCCAATCATCTTCACCCCGTACAAGACAGTACCTCCTCATCCACCCGTCGGCAGGCCTCGGAAGCTTGTCGATCATGAGGCCCCGTCTCGGATTGATGTCGTACATTCCTTTCGCTTGTTCTAGGACGAAGAAGTAGTGGAAGACGGTAAGGGTGGGTTGTATGCGGTGCAACTCGCACTCTCCTACGAACACGACCACGTAGCGCCAGCAGTTGGGAACCATCTGGGCCAAGGCAATTCCCCAGTACGAGAGACACTCGACGACGAAGGGGTGCAGCGGGAGCCGCAACCCAGCATCGAAGGCGTCGACGTACATGAACGCCCAAGGTGTTTCTGGTACGTACGGGCGCATGTCGTGACCGGGGATCCCCAGCTGATACTGATAGGGAATGGAGTACTTCGTCCGACAAGATTCGAGGTCCGACAGAGTGATCTCAGAATCATCGAACATGCTCATCCAACTGATTGCCAAATGGTCCTCCTCTAGACTCCTTGTCTCCGGCGGAAGAGATGTTCCATCACCGGGTTGAGAACGCTTGCCTGCTCCCCTTGCGCGAGAAGCGTTGCCGCGACTCGTCCTACGAGACATCTTCTCCCGAGGGAAGACTTTGAACGCCGAGGAAGGGCAATTGATTTGACTCGAATTTTCTGACCAAGGACAATCCGGACCTCTAATCCCATTTATACGGTGTGATATTTTCTATTACTTTTTTCTAAATTAGAAAAAAAAAATAGGTTTGGTACACATCTCATCCAACATTATTTATTTCCTAATTTTTATACCCTAATATAATATACATATAACTTTTTTTTTAATTTGTATACCCTAATATAATGTACATCTCACTCTTTTTTTTAAAGCCACATATAGTACATATCTTATTATTTATTTTCCAATTCTTAATATCCTAATATGAAATAGATTTACTTAATTCCTTTTTAAGGATAAGCTAAAATGGAATAAGTCTTCTCATAATAATTCAGATTCTTCACTGTCTCCTAAATAAATAAATAAATAAAATCAAGCAGTCCCATTTCTGATTGTGAAGGCTGTGAGGAAGGCTTATGTTGGTATTGAGGGATTCTAAGGTTGATTCAATATACTGTTAGATGATTCCAGACTTGAGATTAAATCGAATCAACATGATTTCGAGCCAATAGTGAGGTCTAGTGGGCTTTCTACCTCTGCAAATTTAAGAGATGTTATATTGGGTGATGAATTTTGATAAATATTTAGAAATTAGTGGTTGAATCATTACATGCGAATGGGAGGTTGGATCCCACCTATGAGACAATAATATGGCTAGCAACCAAATTTGGTTTTATATATATAATAAGACGGATGGTTATCGTTACGATATGCTCTAATAAATCTCGTTATATCTTAAATTATAAAAAAAACTTAAATCCCTAATCACTTAATATGAAGATACATTCTAAGTTGATTATATTTGTTAAGATGATTGAATTCGATCGTGTTTTCAAGATTGTTATACTTCTCCAGACGATTATATCTTTGAGTCCAGACGATTATATCTTTGAGTCAATTGAGTTATCGATACTTGTGCTCGTTAAGAGAGTCATATCCCTGAGTCTAATGCATCCTCAAATCAACCACGTCGTTAAATTAATAATAGTATGACTTAATGAAGTCGATAATCACTTGGCTTATATGAGTTCATGGTCATCCAATTTGATAAAGTTAACTACATTTTCAAGTTAGTCATATCATCAAGTCAATTATGCCTTCAAGTGAGTCATGTTCCTCAAGTCTCATCTTGAATACAATCATAGTCTGAAGTCAGGTGCATCCTCAAGTCGACCATGTTCATAAGTCACTCATACCCTTGAGTCGACTATCTTCTCAAATCGGATGCATTCTCAAGCCAATCATGCTCTCGAGTCGATAGTGTCTTCAAGTTAATCATGCTCTCATGCCCCTGAGTAATATTCAAGTGGATCACACATTCGGTAAGCAAAACTTTGAAGGTCTTATATATATTAAAATCAAAGTTAAATAAATCAAATAGTATCTTTAAGATTGTCACACTTTTCAAGACGATTATATCTTTGAGATAATTGAGTCATCGAGACTTGTGCTTATTAAAAGAGTCATATCTCTAGGTCGAGTGTATCCTCAAGTCAACCATATCATCAAATCAATAATAGTATGATTTGATGAAATCGATAATCACTTGGTTTAAATGACTCCATAGTCATTCAATTTATCAAAGTCAACTACATGTTCAACTTGACTATATCCTTAAGTCAACCATACCTTCAAGTGAGTCATATCTTTACGGCTCAAGTCTAAGACAATCATCCTCAAGCCCACCATGTTCTTAAGTCATTCACACTCTAGAATGGATCATCTCCTAAGTTGAATGTATTATTATATAACCACCAAAACTTCTCCCTTGCCAATTTTTTATGCATACAATAACTATCAAGATTACACGTTGGTTTAGACAATTATTCATCATGTACGCGGAGTAAATGATATAGTAATATTTTTGATCAATCAAAACTTGACATGTGTAACTCATTCGATCATATCAAATGTATTTATAATATTCTTGATTTAGAAAATATTTCATTCACCATAAGAGGCTAAAGCTTTACTTTTAGCTCTCACTTAAGAATCAAAATAACTACTTCAAAAGCCTCATTCTTAACTATCGGAAAACAAGTTCAGATTGACTTCGTGACGGTCATCGACGATTAATTCTATCACTAACGGAGCTCTTACATTTTATTTTTTAATTATTACATAAGATTTAGTATTATAAAAAAATTTATGATAATTCATAAGTTGTTTCTTTATATACAAGTTTCGCAAAAATCCGGTTTATGTTATTTTAGAGAGATCAAATTGGAATGATGACTTGGCACAATTAGTTATTATAGATAATTTTATCTAAGTGGCAATGATTGAGAATATACAATGAAAGAAAATTAAACCTTAGCGATGTATTTTTAGAGAGACGTTTATGCACAATATCACAGCCACTTATTCCAAAAACACAAATAAAGGCTTCCCTCATGCTTCGAGGCCCAAAACTCCTCAATCATTGGCGGAGAATTCTTAGAGGATCCATCGACACCTCTACCCGCGATCGAAGATGGGCCCCTCGTCAAGGACCTCCTCCTCTTATCGGAGATGGACCCACACAAGGTGGTCCCACTCGATGTCGACAGAAGCGCGCGACAGTCGTATTGGCCCTTGCCAAATAATCCCGTGACTACTACGAAATTACACAATCGACCAGCCGCGAAGATCCGATAACCCACGAAGAAAAGGGCATGTACGTCATTTCGCGTTCACGTTGGTCGCGAGTCGTGGGTCCACTCCCACGGACTGACAGGGCTCTTAGCGGGCCCACCACGAGGGTAGCCCCGGTGGGTGTGTTGGTGAGGGGGAGACGAATCAAGGACTAGCTTGCCCGCGCTGCTCATCACGGGCAGTTCCCCACTATAAATTCGTGTATTATGGAATGGAAAGTAGTTTGCAGCTGTCGCTCTTCGAGGTGTCTTTTGTAGAGATTCCTTTTTCCTTTCCCACTTCGCGTCCAAGGTAGAATGGAAATTCTAGTATTTCCATTTTTAATCTTTGTTTTGATTCGATCGTGTTTCTTAATTTTTGATTGTTTTTTGGTTACCTACGGGATGTATCTTTTCGACAGATCTGGTGATTTTGGATCCCGGCGAGGTTTTCTTGGTTCATTATTTCTTGTTTGAACTCAATATAATGCTTTCAATTGTTTATAATCGAACTTGTAAACATGATGAATGCTTTTCTTTCGTTTTTACTTCAGATCTGCAACAAATCTTCAAGGAAAAATGGGATCCAATTTCGTGTCCAAGGAAGACCACCATCACCAGGCTCCGTCGCGGCGGGGCGTTAGGAGGACCTGGTCCTCCAACTCGTCCACGTGCGGCCAGGGCGTCGCCGCTGTCCCCAAGTGCGTGTGTGCTCCAGCCACTCATGCGGGCTCCTTTAAGTGCCGCCTCCACCGGGCGAGCTCCCACGGCCACTCGCCCCCCTCCCCCACCTCGATCCGTCCGCCGCCGCCGTCCGCGAACTCCTCTTGCGCTCCCACCGTGGAAGCCCAGTGACTCGAACGAGGGCCAGAGCGAGGAACAACTGTTAAAGAAGGGAAACATTTGGTGATTCCCGATGGCTAGCGAGAGTTTTCATCTTGGCATGGTGTATTGTGTTTTCCACCCATACTATGCTTACTGCAGCTTCCTTATTTTATTTTGTATAGAAGAAACAGCACCGAGTCTGATTAGTGTTGTAATTAGTTCTATCTCCCAATCGCCAGCTGTGAGAGATGTTGCCTACTCCAGTAATTTCTTTCTATCTTCTTGTTGTTGAAGCTGTTCTTGTAAATATGATCTGTTTCTACTTTCTAAAGCCCAAAAAACACAAAAGGCATCGGTGTTCTAATCTGATTGGTGTGTGTTTGAAAGATGACAAGTTAACATATGGAGGTGGCCAACTTTTTTTCCCATTCCCTTTTCTTAGTTGATGACAGTGAATTTATTGGTTGCCTTGTATCTGTCCAGGTTCACGAGCTGCTCCGAGAAACGAAAGAAGGTTCAGATGTTTAATCTTCTTTTCCAAATGCGATCAACCACAGCAAAAGAAGGTTCAGATGTTGATAAACTTGTTCATATATGTTAAATTTCAGTGCTTTCATTGATGAAGATGATTGTCTTTAGAATGTTTGCTGAATTGTGCCTGTGGTGATAGCATGCATTCTTTTTCTACTTTCCAACTCTGTTAACCTAGTGATTCCTTGTAGTTTACTGTTCCAACAAGGTAGATCCTGTTCTGGATGAATCCTCAGGTTTGATAGTATATCCGATGACTGCTACTTCTTTCCATTTTCCTGCCATAGCCGGCTTGAAGGACATGCATATCCTGTACTACAATTGTCCTTATTTGGCACTTCCACACAAAATGGATCAGCATGGGTACAATTTCAATTTGTCCAAATGTGCTCTGATGCAGCTAATGAAGAAATTTTTTATCTAGTCAATACTTCAAGTATAGGTAGGAAGTTATCACATCAGAAGCTTATGCATGTGGGCCTTGTATACTGCCGCCCTTCTTTATCTTGTTCCAAAACTATGGTGGCGTGACTTTTGGTTCACCAGTTGTGGACGTAAACATATGGAAAGTGCTGTTTGATGAAATGAAAGAAAAAGAAAGATTTGACAGCCTAAAAAAAAGGTTTTTGACTTGTCAAAGTTTAGCTTGTTTTCTTCTACACTTCCAGAAACGATGTGCTTTCATCTGCCACCACTGGTGTTACTTTGCTTAATTGTGAGACATGTTCTCTTTGCAATTTCTACAATGTTCCAAAGTTCCCCCTCTGTAGGTATTTTAATGCATATCAGTTAATTGTTATGCTAGATTTCTTTGAATTGTGCATGAGAGCAAACCATTGATTGATGTGTGCTGTGAACCAACACTGGGTTCTTCAGTCTTAAATTTTTATGCTGATATTTTTGAACCATGCAATGCTATATGCTGTGATCCAGTCTAGGGACTAGGGACTTCATTCAATTTATTTTTTTGTCTGAGTTTAAATTCTTGTGCTACATTTCTTCAAACCATGCATTGGAAGCTATGGTTATTGCTATGTGCTGTGAATCAGTCTGGTTTTTTCAATCTTTCTTGAAGGTGCATCAAGCTTCTTGTGAGCCATGGAAATATATCTTGATCTTTTCTTGGTCACAACTTGTGAGATATACAGAACTTAGTCGTGCTTTGTGTGCTGTAGCCCGTGCTTGTTGCTCCACTGTTACATATTGGCTTTTATCCAAGTAGTGCACCGTTTAGAAACAATTCACGTTCCTTTTCCGTATGTTAACATAGGAATAATTATCTATTGTCCTCCCCCCTACTTAGCTACCTTTAATGTTTTTATCTTAGTCTTTATATGATATCCCTATAGTTAGGAAAGTAAAATATTTAAGTTCATTTATTCTTAACGTCGTTAGTTTTACCAGCGAAAACATGAAAACAAAGGACAAAAAAATAATTTTAACATTCGATGACAGACGACATCGATGGTGGTGGCCGATAGACACGCTGGCGTCGACGCCGACACAGTTATTTGACCGCCTCCGACGATGATAAGATTCGCTCTCACCGCGACACCACTAGCCTCCATGAGAAGTGTGTCGTTGACCTCATTGTGACGTCGACACAGATGGTGGTGGTCGTCATGGCATCCACAGCAAAGATGGTAGTCACCTCATCGTTGACCCGTTAGGCGAATCGCAACCTCAACTCAAATTTAGGGCTACCGGAACTCCTACCGCTACCATGTTAGTTCCGGCATCACCACTTGGCCAATTGTCGACATCACCTCTTGGCTAGTTATCGAGCGATGAAAAGGTTGCTTGGCATCTGCATCAACGTCGACACAGATATAGAGCGGTAGGAGCTCTGACGACCCAAGCTTCGAGTTGAGGCTACGATTCGCCCAACAGGTCAACGACGAGGTGACCATCATCTTCGTCGTAGACATTGTGGCGGCCACCACCATCTGTGTCGGTGCCAACGTAGATGTCGAATGACCCTTTTGTCGCTCGACAATTATGTTAGCATCAATGTAGATGCAAAACCACTCGAGGCGGGTGACGAAGAGGTCGACGATGTGCTCCTTGTGGAGGTGAGTGACAATGCGATGAGAGCGAATCTAATTGTCATCGAAGATGACCAGACAACTGCATCGACGATGACTTTAGCGATATCGTTGTTCATCACTAAATATTAAAATTATTTTTTTATTCTTTATTTTCATGTTTTCGCTAATAAAACTGATATTGTTGGGGATAAATTGATTATAGATATTTTATTTTCATAACTATAAAGATGTTAATATAATTATTTAAAATATGTGGATCGAAATACTATATAATATATAATTAGCCAGTTACCATAACACATTTTTTCTTTTGTAAGTCAGTGTTCAATCTGGAGTCTTAATTGGCAGATGTAGAAGATGATTCGCATGGAAATCATACGAGGAATTGGTCAAGAACTTTTATCTACTGGGTTAATCAGTTGGTAGAACACTACTACCTCTTCATCGAATACCTTGACGGCAAGATGACCGACAACCCATAGGGATGCCCTTGGATTCTGCAATAAAGGAGAATCACCGGATCACATGCGAGCGGAGTCCGTTTCTAACACACAGGTATGCTGCTGAGCTCAATGGGTTCACCAAGTGTTCAGCTTCGTGCAGTCGGACGCGAGAGCTTGTTTCGGTTCCGAAGCCGGCGTTTCGGATTTGAAGAGCAAATGACCCAATTAACCGCGAAATTTTCCTGACATAATTGTCGTCTGTGCCTTCGCCATCAGCGTAATCACATCAAATCATATCATAAACCTCTACCAAATACAGCCTGCTCCAATCGGGCAATACCACAAACATTTAATCCTCATTGCTGTCTGCACTACCGGGCGAGTGTTTGGAGAAGGGAAGAAAGGTGAACATGGGGCGAAGCGGCGGCGCCGTGGAGGTTGGGGAGCGCGGAGGGACACCGGATCGCCGGTCCTCGGAGGGGGACGGGGAGGATGAGCAGCAGAAGCAGCAGCGGTCGGAGATCTACACCTACGAGGCGCCGTGGCACATCTACGCCATGAACTGGAGCGTGCGGCGGGACAAGAAGTACCGGCTGGCGATCGGCAGCCTGCTTGAGGGCTACGGTAACCTGATGGAGATCGTGCAGCTGGACGAGGCCACGGGGGAAATCCGCTCCGACCCGGCCCTCTCATTCGAGCACCCCTACCCCCCCACCAAGGCCATGTTCGTCCCCGACCGCGACTGCCTCCGCCCGGACCTCCTCGCCACCTCAGCCGACTTCCTCCGCATCTGGCGCGTCGCCGACGACTCCTCCCGTGTCGAGCTCCGCGCCCTCCTCAACGGCAACCGCAACTCCGAGTTCTGCGGCCCCCTCACCTCCTTCGACTGGAACGACGCCGAGCCCCGTCGCATTGGCACCTCCTCCATCGACACCACCTGCACTGTCTGGGACATCGACCGCGAGGCCGTCGACACCCAGCTCATCGCCCACGACAAGGAGGTCTACGACATCGCCTGGGGCGGCGTTGGCGTCTTCGCTTCCGTTTCCGCCGATGGCTCCGTCCGCGTCTTCGACCTCCGCGACAAGGAGCACTCTACCATCATCTACGAGTCCGCGGAACCCCCCGGTACACCACTCGTCCGCCTCGGATGGAACAAGCAGGACCCCCGCTACATGGCCACCATCATCATGGACAGCGCCAAGGTCGTCGTGCTCGACATCCGCTTTCCTACTTTGCCCGTCGTCGAGCTCCACCGCCACCAGGCCAGCGTCAATGCCATCGCCTGGGCTCCCCATTCCTCGTGCCACATCTGCACCGCCGGCGACGATTCCCAGGCCCTCATCTGGGACCTTTCATCCATGGGCAGCGACCAGCAGCCTGCTGCCTCCACCGCCGCTGCCGAGGGCGGTCTTGACCCCATACTGGCCTACACCGCTGGGGCCGAGATCGAGCAGCTGCAGTGGTCCTCCTCCCAGCCGGACTGGGTGGCCATTGCCTTCTCCACGAAGCTTCAGATACTTAGGGTTTGACGGCCTCACCTTCAATCAGAAAACTAATCGAAAAAAAAATTCTGTTATATTCATAATCATTATCATCCTCGTCTTATTCGTTAACGTTTTACTACGCTTGTGGTGACTGATAACAATAGGTTTGTCAAAGAAAACTAGAAGGGAAGGTAGGTTTCGCCTTGTAGGTCTACATGTCTACGATAGTAGCTACTGAGTTTGTCATCTGAAATTGCATTCTATTGAGTAGGGATGTCATTGGCTCCACCTTCAAGGGTTTCTATTGTTCTCATGTGCTGAGTATATATTACTTGTTGGTCCTCTAAGATTGCTGATCTTGGTCGGATGTTATCTTCATCCTATCTGAAACTCATATTTGTTGCTTTTGTTATGCCTCTACTTAACTTTGAGTAATTCGTTTAGAATGGAAGGGTTACAATGCTTTAGTTTTTCATGTGATGATACTCTAAAGTAGAAGTAACTGTAAAGTTTTATGGTGGAAGAGAGGAGCGTATCATTTCTGTTTGGTGCTTCTGCTTTATGCTAGAATGATGAGTTAGATGCATCATTTTTCTAGATGAGTGGGGCTTTTTACCTATTAGTAGAAAAGCTAAACATGAAATCAACTGTATAAAGTTTTTGAACGATAATCATGGAATGGCTTCGAAATGCTTGTCTTATTTCTAGATAGTTTACTAAGAAGCTAATAAGGTAGGTAAATTGTTGATCATTCAAGTGGAGATGACAATGTATGACTTAGCACTCTATTGACTTTACCTTTGTCAAGATCATATTTAGTATTAACTTTTTCAGGTCTTCCATTCAACTTTGAGGATTTCTTGAATAGTGCCTTTGTATGTATTCTAAAATTCTCTTGCTGAAAGCTAGCACCACCGGTTCAAAAATATTCAGTTTATTTTCTTCCTATGGTTGTCTGTGGGATATGTATGGCAAATTTTTGTGAGATTTGCCATTACCAACTTTCCAAACTATGATTATAAAGTAATCACAAGCCATAGGTTTGGGATCTGCTCATTACACCCCTGATTTCAAGTGGCACCGGGTGATAGTGATTGATTGTCATTGTTTCACTCATTTTTGTATTCTCTACATCTTTTTCTCTCTCTCTTCATACTATGGTTGTTGCAGCAGGCTGCACTGCAGCAGCTTTTATCACTTCTCGACTGTTTTCAGCTACAAGGCCAAGCAATCGACCGAAATTAGGTTGGTTGTGTTTCAACTTGATCAGGAACGGTGTACATGATGAACCTTGAGATGACATGTTGGAATTAGATTCTTAATTTCAGTGATGCAGAACATGTACCAGTAGTTAAAACAGAGAACCTAGATTGTTTGGGGTGTGCAACGAACTAAGTAACCATGAGTTTGGAAGGGACATGAGGAAATGTAGATTGATACTGGTTTATTGTCCTAGGTAGCCTAGTTGGTAAAGACTTCGATTGATTATCACAAGATCCTAATTTTGAATCCTGCTTTCATCACTCATCCTTTACCAAAAAATAAATATTGGTTTATTGTGCTAGGAAATTTCTTGAATATGTAAATTTGTTGAATAACCTAAAGTTGTAGCTAGCATGTTCTTATGTCCTTTTTGAGCATCAATAGTCGCACTTAAATAATCTTGGATGTTCAGGAATGAGTAAATTTATGATTTTTAACCCTAATGATGTGGCTAGAGTGTTCTTTAAGACCTCTTTGGTCATCTAATAGTAGCTCACTCAGAAAGATCTTGTTAAAGGGTGAATAGTTTGGTAGACACTTGTTTCAAGCTAAAATGTTGTATTGTCTATGCATCTTAAGAAATCATTTTTTAATCTGTCATGGAGGATTATACTTGCAGATGCTATTTCTTGTATTTCTGCGCTTGAAGGCTTGGCCCCATCTGGTGACAAAAGTAAGTTAACAGGGAATGTACTTTGGCATGACTGTGAGGTTCGAGGGTTGTTCGATCACTTGGGAGTAATAGTTCTATATCCTATGTTCATCAGTTTGGCAGTCTAAATTGAGTACTAGAAGAGGTTCTAGGTATTTCGGTTAGGATTTAATGAAACATAAGAATGCATTTTTCTGCCTTTACCATGTGTTTCGCCATCCAAATTTAAAGTGTAAGAAAAATATTTAAGGGAAACATGTATGTAAGACATTCATCTTCATCATACACTAATATAGATAGAAACTTTTTGTTGTCGCCTTTTCTACTGTTATTTTAGTCACTTTTATGTGGTTGGTTATGTTCCTTTATATGCATGTACAATATGCACAAGCTCGGGCATCCTACGGTCTTAATATCCTAGTCAAATAAACAAAGAAAAAAAAGCTTGTATATCATATAGTCTTAAGTTAAATAGATACCGAGCGGAACCTGTTTTGAGCAATTTGTTCTATAGCTTGAAATTAAAAGGACTATATCATGTGATGTTCCGTGGAAGCAATGGTCCGAAGCTCAGTATTTGATGGTCACATGTTCTAGTAGAATCAAAACATTTGTTCATAACCTTCTGTTCCTGTCATCTGAGTAAGGTCTACTCTCAGTATTTGGTAATTTTTATGACTGAAATTGATAGTAGCACTTGGTGCTGAATTTGTACCATAACATGATAGGTATCGTTTCTTTTTATTCGGGATGAATTTTCATTAAAGCTGGTCATATAAGCGATTCTTGATGTAGTCGACAGGGTTGTTCCTTTTTCGATATTTTATTTGGTGATTGCTGTCTCAGATATATCGACCTATCGGAACATGGATCATTTAATGTCTTGCTGCCTGTTTTCTTATAGTCTTGTGCATCATTGTCTTCTCCGGAGTTCCAGAAGATGATTCTTTAGTCTTCTTCTTCTTCTTTTTTGTGTCAAGAGATCTAAGTAAAACATCTATTAGCATTTCCTCTGATACTTATTTCTGCTATGGTTGTAATTCCTCATATTTTCTGACAGACATGTTGAATCTCATAATGGTATGGCTCACTATGCTGGAGATATACATATTAGCAATAGTCTCTTGAAATGTCAGTATTTGAACTCACAGTTAGTGGCTTCTGTAGTTCGAGAAGTATATGTTGATTTCAATGTCAAGTGCCACTGTTTTGGTGGGACTTGAAAAGCTGTTGATACATATCGAACTTGTCAGGACTTTTGATTTCTCGGTCAGTTTTAACTATCTACCCACCCTTCTTTAACTTGGTTCAAACATATGGTGACGTTGGCTTTTGGTTCACCAATTGTGGATGTACGTATATGGAAAGTATTGTTTAAGAAGCTTGCTATTGGTATTGGCAACTCCGAATTCGCTATTGCCAACCCTTTCACTATAGCTAATATTTCAAAAAATAATAAAATATAATTTTATTATTTACGATCTCTTTGTTATCAATCATATCTTTATTTCTATAACCCTTTATTTTATCGTTGGCATCGACATCGTTTCTTGTCACTCCATTACGGAACAAGAACAAGAGAACATTTATGCTCGTTCGATATTGTTCGTCGGGAGAAGAAAAAGAAAAGAAAGAAAGATGATGAGGATACTTACGTTTGTTCATTTGCAAAGATATTTTTTAAAAAATATTTAAAAAAAAATAAAATAAGATTATAAATAATAAAAAAGGGGTTAGATTACAAACCTTTGTTTTAATAAAATGAAAGAAAAAAATTGACACCTGGAAAATGTTGTTGACTGGTCAAACTTTAACTTGTTTTCATCTACGTGCCAAAGAGTATGAGGTCAACGTTGCTGTCTGCCACGCTGCTGCGAAAAGAGCTGAAGGGAATCGCCTCCTCTTGTCTGCACCGATGTGTCTGTCATCGACTGTGGATGCATCATCGACAACGGCGATAGGTGATGATGGATGGCGAGGTTAAGGCAATGGCGGGGGTGGGCGGTGCAGCGTTTGGTCTGACATGGTTGGCGACGACTGGGAAGCAACCCATCTCCCGGAATCGGAACGGGAGGCAACCTCGGTAACTTATTTGGTTCTTCCATGATGCTTCTGACAGAATCCCTGCCTCTCTGTTTCGGCTGTGGCGCTCGTCGGTATACGTTCCTTTGTCCTTCTCCCACACCTGCCTGTCGGTTCTTCCCGCACTTCTCGAGGGGAAGACGACCGTATCCTATCCTGTGAGGAGGCTGTGGGCTCCGCGGGGTTATTGTTTTTTTCTAAGGATGCAATCGTTACATTCATTGCTGCTTCTTAGTAAAGTCGATTGACACGTATCCTAGTGACATATATATATATATATATAAATTTATACGAGATTGATATCGTTTGTAACACTAGATTAAGATTGACTTATAAGGGTATGATGAATGTATTACCATCAAATTCAGCTTAAGCATTTTGGTTAATGGTTTAAACCAAACGAAGTTGATAGACTAGTTAGCCCATCAGGCTTGAGTCTTGATATTTGATATACCTAACATTTAAGCATGGAAAGAGGGCTCGAGTCTTGATATTTGGTATACCTAGCATTTGAGCATGAGGGGGCTCGAGTCTTGATATTTGGTATACCTAGCATTTGAGCATGATGAGAGGGCTCGAGTAGGAAAGAGCACATGCACTATATTAGGACCTGATCTGGGTTATGTGTAACACCCCTGATTAGTCCGACATCGAAAATGAGTAAGATTAAAATTGACTTATAAGTATACTATTATCATTTTAATTAATAGTTTAGATCAAACGAAGTTGATAGACTAATTAGCCCATCAGACTCGAGTCGTGATATTCAATACCACATAATCGTTACCAACAAAAGATAAATATTTTTTTACAAAAATTAAATAATAAAAAATCCTCATAATTAGTTTTATAGATGAGATATGATCACTATATTATTAACAATCACCATGCCGAATATGTACCGTGGCATGATCCTATGTTCATTAATAATGATGTCATCATCTGATTAGCATATAACCTAAATATTATCGAGTCAAATGTTCCATCAACTCATCTTTCAAGATGTGCTTAGTATGTTATCTAAGTTGACAATGAATGATGTGCTTAGAAAACCTCAGTGCATGCACATCCATGTTTTCTGAGATGTGTCCCTCTGTCTCAATTCCAATCGGAGTTCGAATGGGGAAGACTACGGCGAGTCCGACTTCAAAGAAGACAAAAACATAAAAAAGAAGATGTTGGAGGTCCACCCACTTGAAATGGTGGGTGGTGGAATGCGACATGGATTCCGAGACGACGACGACGACGAATACCAATACGGTGAACTTTCTTTCGCCCGGCGACTTTTGTGCTCATTTATGTATGTTGGGAAGATG